AAGTGCTGGGATTACAGGCATGAGCCACCTCGCTCGGCCTTTTTTCTTTTTGTCCCCTGGGGACAGCACCAGCCACTCAAGGGTTCCCCTTGAGTGAATGTTTCCTTTTCTGCAAAGCGGGGAGAAAGGTCTCCATTTCACCAAACGCAGGCTGGAGAGGAGGTGATATACTCAGTGGTAGCCCCTGCACCAGCAGAGAGAACCTGCTGCAGCCGCCTTCTGGGCAGATGACAGCACTGCCTCCCCCATGAAGCCCACAGGACTCCCAGAACAGCCACTGTTTTCGCGGCCAAGGACACTGTTTTCATTTGTGTGTCTGGAGGCCACAGATTGTGTTTTCACTTTAGGTCGGGAGTTCAAAACCAGCCTGGCCAACATGGTGAAACCCTGTCTCTACTAAAAATACAAAAATTATCTGAGTGTGGTGGTGCGTTCCTGTAATCCCAGCCACTCAGGAGGTTGAGACAAGAGAATCACTTGAACCCGGGAGGTGAGGTGGAGGTTGCAGTGAGCCAAGACTGTGACACTGCACTCCAGCCTGATGACAGAATGAGACTCAGTCTCAAAATATTAATAATAAGGCCAGGCGCAGCGGCTGACGCCTGTAATCCCGCACTTTGGGAGGCCGATGTGGACGGATCATGAGGTCAGGCGATGGAGACCAGCCTGGACAATATGGTGAAACCAAGCCTCCACTAAAAATACAAAAATTAGCCAGGCGTGGTGGCGCGTGCCTGGAATCCCAGGTAGTCGGGAGACTGAGGCAGGAGAATCGCTTGAACCCAGGAGGCGGAGGTTGCAGTGAGCCAAGACCGCATCACTGCACTCCAGCCTGGGTGACAGAGACAGACTCTGTGTCAAAATAAAAATAAAATAAACGTGCACAACCCAGGGGATTCGCACGCGGGCCACCTCGGGCGACCGTCGCCACTGTCTGGTTGCAGAACATTCCTCACCCCAAAAGGAGGCCGCATATCCTTAATACCTTACATAAGTGTGCAGTATCCTTTTGGTCCTGTTTCTCATAAATGTAACCCAAACGGACGATCCGCTCTGCGCCCGGCACCGGGGGAAGCAAAGGGACCCGCAGGTGTCAGGCAGATGCGGCCGCCCCGCCAGGGCCCGCGTCCCGCGACGTTCGCCTCGTGGGAACCGGTCCCGCCCGGCCTGGGCTCCCGGCTCTCCTCTCGGGTCTGCGGCAGAGGTCTCCGCGCGGGGCCGCGGGAGGGGAAGCAAGGGCCTCGCCGCACCCGGAGAAGGGACCTGCGTGGACCCAATTGGCGCGACCCCCGCGGCGCAAACCCGCACCAGCGCCTGATCTTCCAGCCCAAAGTGGAGAGCGGCTTAAGCACACACGCGGTCTCAGCGCGGACGAATCGGAGCCCGCTGCGGTTCCTGTGGGCTCGCTGGTTGGCTGCCGCCTCGGTCCGTCAGGTGCGGTCGGGGGCGGGGCGGCATCTGGCCAATGGCGCTCGCTATGGCTTCCTATGGTTGGCTCCCTTGTCCGTCTATCAGCGGAGCGGCGGTGTCGGGGGCGGTGGCGGGGCGGGCCTTCGGTTCCGGGCGCGCGGCGACCGTTGGGTGAGGCTAGCGCGGGGTCGGGCGCGGGCGTGGGCGCGGGGTCGGGTGCGGGGTTGGGCGCGGGAGCGGGCGCGGGCACGGCCGCCTCTCAGGAAGACCCAGGGCCGGAGCGGGAGCGGGGAGGCGGGATAGGCAGTCGGACGGGGGCGGGGCCGGCCCGAGGGGATTTCTCTGAACTGCTGGGCCGGAAACCAAGTCCAAGCGGTTCTGGCGCGGGAAAGTTCGCGAACGCGCGCGGCCGTCCTCGGAGCAGCGCGGGGCACGGCCAGGGATCTCGCGCGGGGTCGCGGGTCCCAGCCTCGCCTGAGGCCCGTGGGCGGCCCACCCGGCCCGGTCCCGGGCCCGCCCCTCCCCCGCGCCCTGTCGCCCCGTCCACGCTCAGGTGTGGGCCCCTAAGGTCCCCGAAGCCCCGTGTCCTCACTCGGCTGCGTGCCCGGGCGGGTCGGGGCGCCTCCGACCGCCAAGGCTGCCCGCGTCCCCCAGCCCTGGTCGGGGAAAACCCGTGGGGCTGGGGGCGGAGCCGGCCCTGCTGAGCGGCTTGGGAGCCGCCGGGGTCGGAGCGGAGGGGAGACACGGTCTGAGCCTGGGTGAAAAGTCTCCTTGGCTGCTGGGAGGGCCGGGCGCAGCCAGGAGCCGGTACCGGGATGGGCTGCGGCGGACGGGGCCCGGGCCTGGCAGTAGCAGGGGTGTTTGTGGAAGGTAGAGCCGAGAAAAAGAGGGGGTGGAATGTGCAAGAATTTGGCCCGAGCAGCCGAAGGCTGGCGCTTGCTAGGCCAAGATGAGGGAGTCACTGCACCCATGGGCTCTCGGGAGGCGGCCACGTGCAGCCTGAGGTCAGGGGAACGGTCAGGGCCAGAACTAGGTGTTTGGAATTGTCATTGTGAGGTCCTGAGGGCTAAGGGTCAGTGCGGAAGAGCGCCAAGCCCACACTCAGGGTGTAGGGTCGAGGAGCTCTGTCTGACAGCTCGTGAAGATGGGGCTTGGAGGAGGAGGGAGTCTTGTCCGGGTCAAGTCAAGGGAAGCTCAAACTGAGAACCGACCCTGCTGTGTGGCCACATGATTTTGAAGGGACAGAGTTACTGCACTGTAACTCAGTCTCTTTCTGTTAACTGCCCTAGTTTTTAATAAGAGAAACTAAATGTATTGTGCATGAAAGTAAGATTCAAGAGCTCCTCTTCTGCCACACTTGCGTTTGATACTTTTGTATGAACAATTGTTAGGCGTTTAGTTGTTACCAGGCTTCTATTTGGTATTATGTTCAGCCTGAAAAAGATGGGGTTACATCCAAAATTACAGTTTTATTTGTTTATTTTGAGACAGGGTTTTACTCCTGTTGCCCAGGCTGGAGTGCAGTGGCATGATCTCGGCTCACTGTAATCTCTGCCTCCCAGGTTCAAGCAATTCTCCTGTCTCAGCCTCACAGGAGCTGGGTCTACAGGTGCGTGCCACCACGCCCGGCTAATTTTTGTATTTTTTAAAAAAGATATTTATTTATTTATTAAAGATGGAGTCTCGCCCGTCACTACACCTGGCTAATTTTTTTGTATCTTTAGTACAGACAGGGTTTCATCATGTTGGCCAGGCTGGCCTCGAACTCCTGACCTCGCGATCCACCTGACTGCCTCCCAAAGTGCTAGAATTATAGATGTGAGCCACCTCCCCAGGCCAATTTTTGTATTTTTAGTAGAGACGGGGTTTCAGCTTGTTGGCCAGGATGGTCTCAATCTCTTGACCTCATGACCCACCTGTCTCGGCCTCCTAAAGTGCTGAGATTATAGGTGTGAGCCTCTGCACCTGGCCTCAAGTTTTATTACAAAGTGGGAACAGACTGGGGTACTGTCAGAAGTGTGGTAAAGTTTTGGTGTAGCACTTCTGAGTCTTCGTGGTGGTTTTCGTTAGTTCTTAAAATATATTTATAAATGAGATTCAAATAAAATACTTAAGGAGTCTCTAAGCACAAAGAACCCCAGAGTGCAGTGTGGTCATTAGTGGGACCTCAGGGGCCTTGGACCGGGCTCCCTGCAGTGGCCTGGCTTTCTGGGATTGTTTTCATCTGGAAACAGGAATAATGATCCCTGCCCCTCCCACTGTGTCAGGACAACATGATGGTCATGTGAGGCCATGCCTGTGAGGAGTGTCTGTGGCAGAGGAGAGGGAGGCCTGAGGGTGGGGGTTGGAGGCCACGCTCTAGGTTGGGAACCTGGGCTCACTGCATCCTCCTCCTCCTGGGCTTGAGTGATCCTCCCACCTCAGCCTTCTGAGTAGCTGGGACCACAGGTGCACACCATCACAGCTGGCTAATTTTTTGTATTTTTCTATTTGTTTTGTTTTGTTGTGTGTGTTTTTCGGACGGGCTTACTCTTGTTGCTCAGGCTGGAGTGCACTGGCACAATCTCGGCTCACTGCAACCTCCGCCTCCCAGGTTCTAGCGATTCTTCTGCCTCAGCTTCCCAAGTAGCTCGGATTGCAGGCTTACATCACAATGCCTGGCTAATATTTTATACTTTAGTAGAGACAGGGTCTCACCATGTTGGCCAGCCTGGTCTTGAACTCCTGACCTCAGGTTATCCACCACTGAGCCTCCCAAAGTGCTGGGATTACAGGTGTGAGCCACCTCACCCAGCTGGTAGTGGACCTTTTTCAGGGTTTACAGGTAAACTTTCCTTCCACTTTTTGAGATCTGGGGACATTACATGGAGGTCGGAGACAAGTATTGGAAGGCTGCTGGGCCTTGTCCTGGGTGCAGGTTTCTTAGGCTCACCTCAGGGTTGCCATGGGGCAGGTGTGCCCATCCACAGGGACCAGCACTGGGGGCTCTTCCAAGCAGGGCAAAGGCGTTCAGGGTTCAGTGCATTCAGGAAACAGGAGAGCGGGGGGATCGGGGGCATCCTGAGGATGGGGTGGGGACATGACCAGATGGGGCTAAACCCCGTGGCTGGGTTGCCTTCTCAGTGCTCAGGATGCTCTTAGGGAGCCCTCAGTGAGAGGTGCCCTTATGATGTGGGTGTGAAGGAGGAGCAGAGGGCAGGGTGGAGGCCAGAAAAGGGGCCAGTGCTGGCAGCATGGAGGGCAGAGCCAGTGGGATTGGCCTGTGATTGGACAAGGAATGGCTCAGACAGCATCCTGGATAGCTGGGGCATGGAGGCGCACTCACCTGTAGTCCCAGCCACTTGAGAGACTGGCGGGAGGATCACTTGAGCCCAGGATTTCCAGCCTGTAGTGTGCAGCGATCATGCCTGTGAATGGTTAGTATATTCCAGCTAGGGCAACATAGCGAGCCCCTGTTTGTAAAGAAAAATGAAAGCCTCCCGGATTTGTAGGTGACAAACCCTGGTGAATGGCGGAGCAGTCCTGAGAGCTGGGAAGAGGAAGACCTTTCTGAGGCAGCAACCCGAGCAGAGGTGAGAGGATGAGGGAGGGGCCTCAGCAGTGTTCTGGCCTCTTGGTTCTTTTTGAGACTTGCCAGTCCTGGGCCTTCTGGGAAAGGTCAGCCACTCTCAGGCAAGCAGTCCTGGGACCAGGTGACCCCACAGCTATGTCAGGGCCACGTTGTGGGACTTCGTTTTCTTCACTGCTGTGGCCACAGCCTTTCTGCTGCCGTTCTGGCTGGTGGATGGGTCCGTGCTTCTTCAAGGATGCAAATTACTCAAAGCTTCCAGGACACTCTTTTGGCAACTTGGGCCTTGGAAAGACAGAGCAGGTGTACGGTGTTAGGGCCTGTGGCTGAGCTGACCTGCCTGGAGGCGTCAGCCAGTAGCACAGCAAGGTTCCCGTCTTGGGGCTGGTGTCCGGGCACAGAGCAGTCAGTATCCACTGTCCTTCCTGGAGGAAAAAGGTAGAATGTGTTTGTTTTTTAAATGGTGGAATGGGCTGGGCACAGTGGCTCACATCTGGAATCCCAGCACATTGGGAGGCTGAGGTGGGTGGGTCACATGAGGCCAGGAGTTCAAGACCAGCCTGGCCAACATCGTGAAACCTCATTTAAAATTACAAAAAATTGGCCAGGCATGGTGGCTCAGTACTTTGGGAGGCCAAGGTGGGCAGATCATGAGGTCAAGAGATTGAGACCATCCTGGCCAACATGGTGAAACCCCATCTCTACTAAAAATACAAAAATTAGCTGGGTATGATATCACACACCTGTGTCCCAGCTGCTTGGGAGGCTGAGGCAGGAGAATTACTTGAACCCAGGAGGCAGAGGTTACAGTGAGCAGAGATCGTGCTACTGCACTCCAGCCTGGTGACAGAGTGAGACTCCGTCTCAAAAGAAAAATACATATATATACAAAAAAAATTAGCCAGTCGTGGTGGCTTGCACCTGTAATCCCAGCAGCTCAAGAGGCTGAGGCAGGAGAATTGCTTGAACCCAGGAGGCAGAGGTTGCAGTGAGCCAAGATTGTGCCGCTACACTCCAGCCTGGGCGATAGGGCATGAGACTGTCTCAGAAAAAAAAAAAGTTGGAATGGTTCTGAGAAATCATTCCTTAAGTAAATAAAATGCCACCCCGAGGGTTGCCCTCTGGGGAGAGGACTCTGGAGGCCGCCCTCCACTCTCAGTCCCTGCCTCCCTGGGCTGCCTCCTGGGGATTGCAGCCCACACCATGCACTATTCTTCCTCCCCATTCCCAGGTTGCCCTGCCTGGAGTCCACCTTCTAGGAGTGAGCCCCTGCTGTGTGGCAGCCCTGGAAGCCCCTCCCTGGCTGTCCCTAGTTCCCTGAAATAAGACTGCTTTCCTGCTAGAGAGATGCCCCCAGCCCCACCTTCTTTCACTGGGCTCTCAGGGGCTGGGACTGGGGTCAGAGCATACTTAGAGCTGGCTTGGCCTACAGGCTGCCATTGGAAGGAGCATAGCAGCTGAGCATCAGGCGAGGCATGTTCCATGAGGAACACAGGAAGGCCCTGGAGACCGTTGCCAGGGAGCAGCGGGTTCCAGGTCTTCACGCCCAGCCTGGTTCCCCGTGTGAGGCTGTGGACACGCATGTGTCTGCCTCTCTCATCCGCAGCCCCCTGTTGCTACCTGGGGAGCCTCTAGGGTTGCCGTCCAGTGTGTTTCGAGTCTGTTCTCATGGGCTTCTGGGCTGTGGAAGTTCCCTGTGCTTTGTGGGGCCAGCATGTGTGAACTAACTTCACTTCAACCAGAAGCTTTGAGGTCTTTGGACTCAAGCTTTACCCAAACTGCTTACAGGGCTTGGGGGGACTGAGTGCCTGTCTCACCTTTTTCTCATGAAAATGCTGACAGGAGAAAGTGTGATTTGGAGATTTGTAGTTGGTTGTCCTTGCTCACCCGCCTGCCCTTCTAAAGGACTCTGGCTTTCCCGAGAAGCCTCATGGGTGATGTTGATGCCGAGAGCCGAGAGAGAGTGAGGCCTCGAGGAAACCCTGGGTGTCCTGGGTTACTGCTTGCCCTCCCTATCTGCCCACTCTGCCTGGTGAGTGGGTCTAGACATCCACATTGTTCCCTTCCTCTGTCCTCAGCATCAGCCCAGCCCTGAGCAGGCCCCTCTCAACAGAGCAGGAGCTCGGTGGCAGGGAGAGCGGCCTGCCTGAGGGTGCTCTGTAAGGAGAGTGGAGCCCCATGGAGTCTCCGCCCGGGAGGCTGAAGGAGGAAGAATCCCAGTTAATCCAGGAGGAAGGGTGGGGTGAAGGGGTGGCTGGACGGTGCTCAGAGAGGCAGGGAGAGTGGGCACGGCACAGGGTGGCCTTGGTGCTTAGAGAGGCAGAGGAGAGGGCATGGTGCAGGGTGCTGAGGCCGTCCATGGCCGCCTTGGTGGGGCTTAACGAGTTCCAGTGGACAGCAGGCGCCAGGGCAGGGCTAGTACACAGAGGACTCTGAGGCCATGTGCGTCGTCTGCAGTGGGGAAGCCTGGTAGCGAGAGGTAGCTTGCACCGTCCAGCCCCAGGTGGCTGCACTCCTGCCCCAGGGCTGCTCTGGTGGCATGGCTCTCTCCCAAGTGTCTCTAGGGCCTCTGCCGGCAGGTGGGCATCTGCTGCCGAGTGGGTTTGGTGAGATATGCTTTAGAAGGCGTCCACCACTCTAGAACGTGCTTATTACATGGGGGAACTGAGAGCCTAGTCTTGAGAACCTCTGACGGTTAGTGTTAACAGAAGTACAGCCTGTGCACCTAGCTGGGAATGAGGGGTGAGTGGCTGGAAGCGCGTGTGTCCGTGCCTCTTTGAGCTGTGGGTTGGGTGTGTGGACACCAGCTGTGTGGTCCTCGCCCTCACCGAGCCTTAGTTTCCATACTAGCAGCGGGAGATGGGACTCGAGGGTCTCCAAGGCTTCCCCGAAGCTCTGCGGCTCTGCCTCTCCGTCTCATCCGCAGGTCAGTGGGGACCTAACCCCTCACCCTTGCCTGCTACTGGTCAGTTTGGTGTTCTCAGGAGGACTGTTCTGGAATTGAGGTATAGCATGCTGTGTGTTCTTCCTTAGGGCTCCGTCGTTCGTGGGGGTCACAGCTCTCATGGCTGCCGCTAGCGTGACCCCCCCTGGCTCCCTGGAGTTGCTACAGCCTGGCTTCTCCAAGACCCTCCTGGGGACCAAACTGGAAGCTAAGTACCTGTGCTCTGCCTGCAGAAACGTCCTGCGAAGGCCCTTCCAGGCGCAGTGTGGCCACCGCTACTGCTCCTTCTGCCTGGCCAGCATCCTCAGGTGCGCGGGACCTGCAGGCTGGGAGGAGGCCTTGGTGCTGAGCCACACTGCCCAGCACAGCCGGGTTCGGCTTAGATGTGCTCCAGGTGTCGATACTGCCTGGCTTTCTGAGGTTTAACACAAAGAATGTAAAATTAATAATTTTAAAATAACAATTTGAAATACTGTTTTGGATACATGGGGTTAGATATAATAATCATTACAGTTAATTTTACCTTTTTAGTATTTTTCATGTGAGTAGTAGAAAGTTGAAAACTCCACCTCCTGCTCCCTTTTTGGCTGCTCTAGGCAGGTAAGACAGCTGCCGTCTGAGAGGCATGGCCTCTGCAGGTCAGTGCAGCTGTGCAACACCTGAGCTCCTGCAGCAGGCGCCCTTGGCTTTTTAGGAAGGCCTTGTTCACACACAAGGAATGATTTGGCCTCAGGAGGTCATGCCCTGGGTACTCCTGTCAGGATTGAAATCTTCTCATCTACTTTAAGTCTTTAAAAACATTGTACTGTGAATTCTGGGGGTTAAAAAAATGTACAGTTAACATATGCTTGCTGTTGGTTTCAGTAAAGATGAGAAGGTTTAAAGAAACCATGGTGTGGAGCTAGGTTTTTGACCTGAAGCAAGTGGTGTTCACTTACGTTTTGCATTACATTTCATAGTGGGATTTTCTTTGTTTCCCACTAGCTCTGGGCCTCAGAACTGTGCTGCGTGTGTTCACGAGGGCATATATGAAGAAGGCATTTCTATTTTAGAAAGCAGTTCGGTAAGTAAAATATCTTGAAGCTAAAAATGTTGAACAGAAAACGTCTTGGAATTTCCTTTAACAACGTGGGTGGGGCTGGGCACAGTGGCTCACACCTGTAATCCCAGCACTTTGGGAGGCCCAGGCAGGAGAATCGCTTGAGTCCAGGAGTTTGAGACCAGCCTGGGCAACATAGTGAGACCTTGTTTCTGTAAAAAATTAAAAACTTAGCAGAGACTGGGCATAGTACCTCATACTTGTAATCCCAGCGCTTTCGGGGGCCCAGGTAGGTGGATCACCTGAGGTCAGGAGTTTGAGACCAGCCTGGCCCACATGGTGTAACCCCATTACTACTAAACATATAAAAATTAGCCGGGTGTGGTGGCGTGCACCTGTAGTCCCAGCTACTTGGGAGGCTGAGGCAGGAGGATTGCTTGAACCTGGGAGGTGGAGGTTGCAGTGAGTCAAGATCATGCCACTGTACTCCAGCCTAGACAACAGAGCAAGACTCCATGTCAAACAAGACAAAACAAAAACCCAGACAACAACAGCAACAGAAACAGCTGGGTGTGTTTGGCACATGCCTTTAGTCCCAGCTACTTGGGAGGCTAAGGTGGGAGGATTGGTTGAGCCTGGGGGATGGAGGTTGCAGTGAGCCAAGATCATGCCACTGCACTCCAACCTGGGTTACAAAGTGAGACCCTTTCTCAAAAAAAAAAAAAAAAACAACAATGCATTCAGAAGTTGTCCCTTAGCAGATTTGGGAAGTTTAGGGCTTGGAAACTTTGGCATCAAGGTGAGTCAGTCCTCAGGGAGCCATCCTTGCTCCCAGGGTGGCCCAGGAAGGTGGCGCGACACGGAGTTGGTTTGGTTTGGTTTGGTTTGGATGCGTGGCCCTGTGTGCCTCAGTTTCAGAGGGAGGCCGGGTGGAGGTTTAACCTGAGGGCTGTTCCTCTCCCTAGGCCTTCCCAGACAATGCTGCCCGCAGGGAGGTGGAGAGCCTGCCGGCCGTCTGTCCCAGTGATGGGTGTACCTGGAAGGGGACCCTGAAGGAATACGAGGTAAAGTCAGGTGGCTCTTCAGAGCCTGCATGTTGCATGGTGACAGCAGCCCCAGCAGTCGGGTCGAGTCCACCCCGAAGCAGTTATGACCTTGGCCTGTACTTTCCTCATGCTGGGTCTGAAGCCTGTCTGATGTCTGTGGAGGAAAAGACATAGCTGCTCCTTAGAGTTTCTCCATTTAGAAACACATGTAGTGGGCCGGGCGTAGTGGCTCACGCCTGTAATTCCAGCACTTTGGGAGGCCAAGGCAGGCAGATCACGAGGTCAAAAGATCGAGACCATCCTGGCCAACATGGTGAAATCCCGTCTCTACTAAAAAATACAAAAATTAGCTGGGCATGATGGCGCATGCCTGTAGTCCCAGCTACTCAGGAGGCTGAGGCAGGGGAATTGCTTGAATGCGGGAGGCAGAGGTTGCAGTGAGTCGAGATTGCGCCACTGCACTCCAGTCTGGCGACAGAGCGAGACTTTGTCTCAAAAAAAAAAGAAAAGGAAAGAAAGAAAGGCTGGCCGCAGTGGCTCATGCCTTTAATCCCAGCACTTTGGGAGGCTGAGGCGGGTGGATCACGAGGTCAAGAGATCGAGACCATCCTGGTCAACATGGTGAAACCCCGTTTCTACTAAAAATACAAAAGATTAGCTGGGCATGGTAGCGCACGCCTGTGGTCCCAGCTACTCAGGAGGCTGAGGCAGGAGAATTGCCTGAACCCAGGAGGTGGAGGTTGCGGTGAGCCGAGATCGCACCATTGCACTCCAGCCTGGGTAACAAGAACGAAACTCTGTCTCAAAAAAAAAAAAAAAGACACGTAGAACAGAACACAGACCTGCACCATGGAGCTGGGGCTGTGTGGCCTCCAGTGAGGTACTAGCCCTCTCTATGCCTCAGGTTTCTTGTCTGTTGATCATGGGTGGCTGTGAGGGTGGGAGGTGCCTGTGTGAGCCCCAGGAAGACCGTGGTTATCAAAGCAGTAGCATTTCCCAGGAATGGCAGGAAGATTGCTGCGCACCGGTGCTGCAGCTGTTGAGTTTGGTGGGAGTTTTTGTTGTGTCTCCTGTGTCCACAAAGGATTTCTTATTTTGAATTGTGTTGACACTGGAGATAGCAGAAATAATAGACACATTTGCCCTGTGGTCACAGAAAGGCTTCCAACCAGTAACATAGGCAGGGGCCCGCACTTCACTTGGAAATGAATGCATTTGTCCCTGTGTGCCAGGTGAGGCGGGCTCACCTTCCTTCATTGGCATATTGGGGGTTTCAGTGTGAGTCTCATGTCAACTTTTCAGCATTGGGAAACTTAACCTATAGTTTCTAGTCCTCTGCAGCTCACCAAGCTATGCAGTCTTCTTTCTCATCGTAATGAGTGCCCTTTAAGAAGTTTCCCTCTGGGATCCTTGCGCAGGATTCCGGGAGTAACACTGTCCACAGAGCCCACAGGTAGAGGCAGCCCAGTGTTCACGGATGAATGGATAAATACGGAAAGTGTTATCTGTGCACTTGGTGGCATAGATTAGAAAGGAAGAAGATTCAGACACATGCTCCCCAGAGATGAACTCTGAGGGCATTGCACTGAGTGGAACAAGCCAGCCACCAAAGGACAAATCCTCTGTGATTCTACTTATGTGACGTCCCGGGAGTGGTCACATCCATAGAGACAGGAAGTAGAATGAAGGGGCAAGGGTCACTGCTCCGTGAGTACTGAGTCGTAATCGGAATCTCGAAGAGAGGAGGCACCTTAATACCATCCAGTTCAGCCCCAGGTTGGTGAGGCTGTGAGGGCTGTTTGCTTGGAACCCTGGCTGTCTGCACTTAGGAGAGCTTCCTGCCCAGGCAGGGGCTGGGGTGTCCTGCTCAGCCAGACCCTGGAGTGTGGACTGTTGGGTTTGGAGTTGGACCTGCATTATTGTGGGTTTCTCCTTTCCCACTCCCTGCCCCACAGGCCTGGCCACGCCTCCCTCGATCTTTTGATGTGCTCTGCTGTGTGGTCTTTGGGCTCCAGGTTTCATTTTTTCAGAACCGCCCAGCTGCATCTGGGGTGGACAAGGGGATGGGCTTTCCTCCCTAGCACAGGGACTGAGTCCTGGACGTGGAGCTGGAGCTCCAGGGCACTGCCCCGGAGTGAGATTCCGACCTCTGTGGGCAGAGATATCAGACTGCCCACGGCCACAAAGTGCGACGCCAGACTTTCTAGGCTCCTGTGCGGGTCTGCTGCATGATCGGCTGCGGTGCATAACGTCGTCCGCCCTGGCCCTGCTCTTCTAGAGACCTGCAGCTTGGTCATCACCCAGTGCTGTCTGCAAGGGGGATGGCTTCCTCGGCAGGTTGCCCAGGGTCAGGGTCTCCCTGGGAGTGTGAGGGCACCAGCTGGGTGCAGGGAATAGGGGTGCTGTGTGCCATGCTACCCTCTGAGAGGACTAAGAGGCACCTGGGGGACAGGTTGGGTCACAGTTCCCAGCCCTGCACTGGTCCCCGAGTCCTTTGGGGTCCCTGCCACCTCCAGGCTCATGGGATGCAACATTGACAATTATGAAGGCGTCCGGCTGAAGGCCAGGAACCATAGCCAGCCCCCGGGCTAAGGCGCCACGCGGCCTGGCAGGCACACAGGGTGGAAAGTCCCTGGCTGCACTGTTTGAGAGCTCTGGAAAGTCCCTGAGAGGAGTCGGGTTTGGTCATGTGGGAGGGGCGGGCACAGCTCTGGAATAGCTTGACTGTGGCCTTTGATTTTATTGATAAAACCTCTCACTGGCTGTAAGTGTCACACACACAGGCGGAAATGAAACCCTCTCTGCAGAGTTGGGAGCCGCCTCTCCTTGCTCTCAGGTTGCTCAGAGTGTGCTGCTAGTCGGGGCGTTATTGTGAACGCAGTGCTGAGACTGAGGCGGCTTTTTTCCTTGGTGGTCCGAATTTTTTTGGAAAAGTGGAAAATTCTGCTTAGCTTTTGAATATGTTTTTCCTTTGCAATGATACCTTTCTAGGAACTAAATGATTTTATTTATTTATTTTGAGATGGGGTCTCGTTCTGTCGTGCAGGCTAGAGTGCAGTGGTGTGATAGCTCACTGCAACCTCTGCCTGCCAGGTTCAGGCGATTCTTCTGCTTCAGCCTGTAAGCACCTGCGACCATGCCTGGCTAATTTTTTGTATATCTGATAGAGACAGAGTTTTACCATGTTTGCCAAGCTGGCCTTGAACTCCTGACCTCAAGTGATCCACCTGCCTGGGCCTCCCAAAGTGCTGGAATTCCTGGCATAAGCCGTCACACCTGGCCATATTGAATGATTTTAAAACTTCAGGTAGAAAATGTTTATGGAGTACCTGCCTAGTGCTAACAGCAGAGCTGAATTCCCCAGTGGGCCCAGAGCTGCTTGTTCTGGCAGCTGGGTGGTGGGGGTGCAGGGAGACTTTCCAGAGAGGACACAGGCCGGCCGAAAGAGCAGTAGAAAGGCCAGGAAAGGCCATATGCTCAGCCTCATGGATGTTCTAATGAAATTCAAAGGTATGATGACTGTATTTGCGATAGACGTGTAGTTTGAATTCTGGTTGAATAAACTTGATTTCCTTGAACCGTGTCCACCGTGGGTGGGGAGAAGACTGATACAAATGGTGGTAGGTGTATCAGCTGTATGTAGCACAGTCCTGGGTCCCATGGGCAAGTTCAGGTATGAGCGCCAAGAGGAAGGTTTTATTTCTCACATGTCGGGCACGCAGCACATGTGAGCAGTGAGCAGGAGGCTGAGAGTGGAGCCCAGCCGCAGCCCCAGGGCCCCAGCCAGCCTCTGCCAGTCTCCTTCAGCCACTCAACTCCACAGCCCCAGCCAGCCTGCGCCGTCTCCTTCAGTCCCAGCTCCACAGCCCCAGCCAGCCTGTGCCAGTCTCCTTCAGCCACTCAACTCCACAGCCCCAGCCAGCCTGCGCCAGTCTACTTCATCCCCAGCTCCACAGCCCCAGCCAGCCTGTGCCAGTCTTCTTCAGCCTCAGCTCACAGCCCCAGCCAGTCTCCTTCAGCCTCAGCTCCACAGCCCCAGCCAGCCTGTGCCAGTCTACTTCAGCCCCAGCTCCACAGCCCCAGCCAGCCTGCGCCAGTCTACTTCAGCCCCAGCTCCACAGCCCCAGCCAGCCTGCGCCAGTCTACTTCAGCCCCAGCTCAACAGCCCCAGCCAGCCTCTGCCAGTCTTCAGCCACTCAACTCCACAGCCCCAGCCAGCCTGTGCCAGTCTCCTTCAGCCACTCAGCTCCACAGCCCCAGCCAGCCTGTGCCAGTCTCCTTCAGCCACTCAACTCCGCAGCCCCAGCCAGTCTGCGCCAGTCTCCTTCAGCCACTCAACTCCACAGCCCCAGCCAGCCTGCGCCAGTCTACTTCAGCCCCAGCTCCACAGCCCCAGCCAGCCTGCGCCAGTCTACTTCAGCCCCAGCTCCACAGCCCCAGCCAGCCTGTGCCAGTCTTCTTCAGCCACTCAACTCCACAGCCCCAGCCAGCCTGTGCCAGTCTACTTCCGCCTCAGCTCCACAGCCCCAGCCAGCCTGTGCCAGTCTCCTTCAGCCACTCAACTCCACAGCCCCAGCCAGCCTGTGCCAGTCTACTTCAGCCCCAGCTCCACAGCCCCAGCCAGCCTGTGCCAATCTCCTTCAGCCTCAGCTCCACAGCCCCAGCCAGCCTATGCCAGTCTACTTCAGCCCCTCAACTCCCCACACGTATTTTTTTCTTTTCTGGCTTATTTCGAAGCAAAGGAAGATGTCATATCATTTTACCTATGAGTATCTGTTATTATTACTTTTATTTCTATTTTTTTGAGATAGAGTCTTGCTCTATCGCCCAGGCTGGAGTGCAGTGGTGTGATCTTGGCTCCCTCCAGCCTCTGCCTCCCGGGTTTAAGAGATTCTCCTGCTTTAGCCTCCTGAGTAGCTGGGATTACAGGCACCCGCCACCACACCTGCCTAATTTTTAATTTTTTTATTTTTAGTAGAGACAGGGTTTTAGTCTGTTGGCTACTCTGGTCTCAAACTCCTGACCTTGTGATACACCTGCCTTAGCCTCCCAGAGTGCTGGGATTACAGGCGTGAGCCACTGCACCCAGCGAGTTTTTATTTTTTTCAGAGATAGAGTCTTGCTCTGTCGCCCAGGCTGAAGTGTAGTGGTGAGATCATAGAGCTCACTGCAGTCTCGAACTCCTGGGCTCAAGTGATCCTCCCACCTTGACCTCCTAAAGTGCTGGGATTACAGGTGGGAACCCATTGTGCCCAACCATTTGATTATGTTTTAAAGACAGTCTTTTAATTAAGTCTAAGGACATTGACTATTTGTGCTTTAGTTTTTATGTTTCATAAACTGTAATAGTTGCTGAGGCTGCTCTTTAATTCAGCTTGATGGTGGTTCGCTACATGCTGAGTATGGCCTAAGGCTCGGTCCCTGCCCGTCGGTGGGTAGTAGAGGGCACGGCGCTGTTGGGTTCAGGGAGGTTGGTTCCTTTAGCAGGCTCAGCTCAGGCCAGTGCCGCTGAGGTCTTGGAGGGCTGGGCCCATGTGTCCTGGGGCGCCTCTAAGGAGTAGCTGCTGTGTCTCTGTGAAGGTTTGGGAGGAGCATTCCCTGGGGAGATTGAGTGGAAGCCGGTCCAAGTGCCTGTGCTGTCCAGAACAGGGTCTCCTCTCTCGAGGGAAGTAGCTTTGGCCTTTCCTGAGTCACCTTGGGCCCCTGAGCTGCAGCCAACTTTCCACGGAGCTGCTGACCCCCACTCCCCACCCCATGAAGGGCCCTGCAGCCAGGTCCTCTGCTGCCCAGATCCCACTTCGGCCTCTTGGGAACCTTCCTCTCCCGTCCGGTTGTCTTCTACTCTCTGGGCTGTGCCATCCATACACAGAATATGCTCTAGTATCTCCCGTCTCAAAACTGAGTGCTGTGCTCAGTGAGCTAAGCCAGGCACAAGAAGGTCATCATTGCATGATCAAATTCAGAACCGGTGGATGGTTCTGGAGGCTGGAGGAGGGGAATGGGGAGTTAGGGTTTAACAGGAACAGGGTTTCAGGTTTCTGCAATGGAAAGAGTTATGGAGGTAGATGGTGATGATGTTTACATAACATTTAAAATGTACTTAATACCACAGAACTGTGCATTTAGAAGTGGTGCTGATAAATTTTATGTTTGTCGTGATTAAAGAAACTTGGCAGATCTTAAACTCCATGTTCCTTTGCCTACTCTTCCCTCTCTCTGTTCCCAGCCATGGCAGATTTCTCCCAAAAGACTTGTTTAACTCTGGTCGGGCATGGTGGCTCACACCTGTAATCCCAGTACTTCAGGAGGCTGAGGTGGGCAGATTTCTGGAGCTCAGTAGTTCCAGACCAGCCTGGGCAAGGTTGCTCTACCAAAAATATAAATAAACTTTAGCTGGGTGTGATGGTGTGTGCCTGTATTCCCAGCTACTTGGAAGCTCAGGTCAAGGCTGCAGTGAGCTATGTTCTTGCCACTGCACTCCAGCCTGGGTGACTGTATTAGAACATTTTAATACCGCTGTGAAGAAGTACCCAAGACTGGGTAGTTTATAAAGAAAAAGATGTTTTGTGAACTCACAACTCCACATGGCTGCGGAGGCCACACAATCACGGCGGAAGGTGAAGGAGGAGCAAAGTCATGTCTTACATGGCGGCAGGCAAGAGAGAGCGTGTGCAGGGAACTGCCCTTCATCAGCCCGTTAGATCCCGTGAGACTCACTATCACGAGACCAGCACAGGAAAGACTCACCCCCATGATTTGGTTTCCTCCCACCAGGTCCCTCCCATGATACGTGGGGATTATGGGAGATGAGATTTGGGTGGGAACACAGCCAAACCATATTGGTGACAATGTGAGACCCTTTCTCAAAAAAACAAAAGCCTTGTTCTGTTCTGTTTCTGTATTTCACTGCCCCCATATGGAGGCAGGCTGGCCCTCGTGTGGCTTGGGCCAGAGGCCCGGGGGTCCCTGACTTTTCTGTGTCCCTTTTAAGCTGCACACTCAGTCTGTCAGCAGATACACGTGGCTCAGACACATCGCAAACCCAGCCCTCTCTCCCCTTCCACTAGCACCTTTGTGGTACCTGCCACCTGTTTTTCCTTCTGTGACTATGGCAGCTTCCCGACCTTAAAGTCTGAGAAGCGCAGCAGCCAGGCAGGCATCGAAGGGTTCAGCCATGTCCCTCCCCTCACAGCTGGGCAGAGCCCTCCAGGTGGTCTGTGAAGCCCTGCCTGGGGCAGCAGCAGGACAGAGAGGCTGGGTTCTCCATCCCAGATTCTAGATTCTTCCTGACCTAGGTGTGGTGAGGAGCTGGCACCACCTCCTTTCCCTCTGTGTCCTTTTCCTTGGCCATCCTGGCTGTCTGGACGTCTGCAGTCCTCTGCCTCGCCTGATCTTCAGCCTGCAGCACCGGGTCCTGCCTCCCTAGCCCACTTCTGGTGGGACCTTCCCTGGCCCTGCCTCAACTGCCTGTCTTCCCAGTGTTCCTGCACCCGTGGTCACTCTACCAGGTTGTCAGCTCCAGGAGGGCAGGGCCTCTGCCTAGCTCATGGGTGGCTCAGTGTGTGGAAACTCATGGGCTCCCAAGTGACCTTGCTGCATCTCACTGGCCTCTCGCCTGCCTTCCTCACAGCTTAGATGCTTTCCAATGCATGTGCTGTGCAGCTAGAACCAGCCTGCCCCAGGCCCTGGTCCTCGTACCCTGGCCTGCTGGCTTGTGCCTCAGGCCTCTGCTGGACTCCTGGTGCTGGAGGCAGAGACCAGCTGCCCTCATGCTGTCTCCCCTGCATGTTCCCTGCCTCTTCACACCTCCCACCTACCATGAGGATGGGGTGGGACTGGCAGGATCCCAGCTGGCACGGACCGGGTTATGTTGGTCATCAGAGCAAGAGCGTGGCCTGTGTTCTCAGTTGGGAGCTTCTGTGTTTGTGGCAGGAACCTGCTGGCGCAGAGCAGGCACTGTGCACTTGGCTGTTTTAGGGGACGGGGGGGAGCCTGGTGGTGGCAAGGCACCCAGCAGAGACCCCCATGGTAGAGCATCCCCTCAGCTCTGGGGGGCAGAGAGTGGAGACAAGGACACCGATTTCTTCCTTTTTGCCTCGAACTGTGTGAGCCCTGAGACAGGCAGGGAGATGGCTCTGGGATCAGCATGCAGACGCCCAGCCATCACTACACCGCCTGGCGTCCTTGGGTGAAGCTATGGCCGCCCATGTGAGTTCTACCGACGCTTTCTTCTTTTGTTACCAGAGCTGCCACGAAGGCCGCTGCCCGCTCATGCTGACCGAATGCCCCGCGTGCAAAGGCCTGGTCCGCCTCGGTGACAAGGAGCGCCACCTGGAGCATGAGTGTCCGGAGAGAAGCCTGAGCTGCCGGCACTGCCGGGCACCCTGCTGCGGGGCAGACGTGAAGGTGTGTGGGGCTGGAGCAGCCTGTGGGGCGGCAGCCGTGCGGGGCTGAGTTGGGGAGCTGCATGCTGGCCACGGGCTGCGTTGGCTCCTTTGCATTCGTTCCACCCTCAGCTCTTTTCCTGAAGCCATGGCGGTGGATGTTTCTTGACAGAATTGGGAATGGGTGTCAAGTTAATGCCAAGGTCTTTAAAAAGCATTTTTTTAGGCCAGGCATGGTGGCTCACACCTGTAATCTCAGTGCTTTGGGAGGCTGAGGCGGGCAGATCGTGAGATGATGAGTTTGAGACTAGCCTGGCCAACATGGTGAAACCCCATCTTTACTAAAAATATAAAAATCTAGCCAGACGTGGTGGCAGGCACCTCTAATCCTAGCTACTGGGGAGGCTGAGGCAGAAGAATCGCTTGAACCTGGGAGGCCGAGGTTGGCCTGAGCTGAGTTTGAGCCACTGCACTCCAACCTGGGCAACACAGTGAGACTCCATCTCAAAAAAAAAAAATTTTATGTTTAAAGGCATTTTTGCCGGGCATGGTGGCTCATGCCTGTAATCCCAGCACTTTGGGAGGCCGAGGCGGACGGATCATGAGGTCAAGTGATTGAGACCATCTTGGCCAACATGGTGAAACCCTGTCTCTACTAAAAATACAAGAATTAGGTGGGTGTAGTGGCCTGCAACCAGCTACTAGGGAGGCTGAGGCAGGAGAATTGCCTGAACCCAGGAGGCAGAGGTTGCAATGAGTCGAGATCACACCACTGCACTTCAGTCTGGCATCTGGCCATAGAGCAAGACTCTCAAAAAAAAAAAAAGGAAAACACAGCATTTTTGTGTTAGCAAAGTCTAAACGCATCAGGTAGAGAGCCCAGAGGTGGGTGTGCGGCCCTCCTTGCCCGGCCTGGGCGTCACTCCCCAGACAGTTGCTCAAGCCTGACTTGGTGTTTCCCGAAGAGTTGGTGAGCGCACGCTTCTGCAGTGCACAGAGCTGGGGTTGCAGCGCCACGTCTGAGATAGTTGTGATGCTCACACAGCCTTCACGCTGAGTCTGCGTCCCTGTTGTCTGTCTTTGCCTTGGCTTATTTGAATTACGGTCCACACAGTGTTCTTGACTTTGGTTGAGATGTCTCTGGGTCTCTCTCAGCCTCTGGCGGGCCCCTGTGGCATCTTTTTTCCTGGGCTGTTGTCCTTCAGGAACTCCACTTCCTGGACCTGTCCCCAGGCACCAGGTCCTTCTTTGTCACCCCTTCCCTGTAGACTGTGAGGGGGCCAGGCCCCCCGCAGTAGCATGTCAGGGTCTGTCTTGGAGACATCCTGCACGTGGCCAGCCTGGTCCATCCACCAGGCCCTTCCACCGGGCTCCCCATTTTCATGTGGGCTGTTGTTGTACGTGGTGAGTCTCCTCTGATGGCTTGGGCCTCCCTCACATTTCCCTGGAGCTGCAGAACAAGCAGTGTTAAGCTCTCTGAGGCTCCTGGGCAGTGCTGGCAGGATCCTACCTGGGCAGAGCGCCATCCTGAGAGGCTCAAGGGTGACCACATGCTCCTGCAGCCTGGCCTGTTGGCGCTGCCCGGCCGGTGCCTGGTACTGACGTCCACCCTCATGCCCCTGACTGCTTCTTTTGAAGGCGCACCATGAAGTTTGCCCCAAGTTCCCCTTGACCTGTGATGGCTGCGGCAAGAAGAAGATCCCCCGGGAGAAGGTGAGTGTCCCTCACACCCTCTGAGGACCATGGGTCGTGGCCCATATGTTGGCAGTGAGGGTCCCGTAGGGTGAGGTTGGGGCAGGTGATGACCTTAGTGCCCGTGGGAGCAGTGTGCAAAGCTTCCGTAGTGTCTGCTTTTGGGTGCATTTAGGGCTGCGGCCGCTCTCCTGGTGGGTTGGTGGCCAGGTGGCTGGGTCCCAAGCCCTCTTCATCCTCCAGTGTACACAGCTGCTGACTTTTGGGCAAGTCACTTCCCAGTTATCCTGAACTGAACGTTCTCATTGACCTCCATGTGCTGCTTTGAGAAATGTTGGTATTGACTTTGAAGCTGAGTGTTTGCAGCAGGCGGTCGGGGTGCAGACAGGTGCCCTAGACTGGTCTGTGGCCACAGCCGGGAGATGCTGGTGCCTTGGCCGGCAGACCTCCATCCCTGATGCCCTCACTTCTGGCAGGAAAACAGCTTCTCGCCCAGTTGAGCGTTGACTGCTGCAGATGACACCTTTAGGAAGGGAAGCTGGGAGATACAGGTGGAGACGTTTTCCCAAACTGCCTCCCTTGCTGGAGGTGAGGGTAGCTAGTCCAGAGGCTGGAGTTCCAGAAGGGGGTGTGGCGCCTGTTCAGTGTGTCAGAGGTCAGAGGTCAGATGCGGAGGCCTTGTGGGTGGTGTCCCCATCTGGGCAGCCACAGGAGGGTCAGGTGGCTGGGCCTGCCTGCAAGCTCAGCCCCACAGCTATGTGCCTGTCTTTCTGGTTTGCTTCCGTTTAAATACAGGTCACAGTATGAGTCCTGAAATTCGCAGGGCCGGGGACTGGGTTCTGTCTCCCCACCTGTTCCCACCTGTCTGTGTGAAGTGTCCCGCCCTGGGAACTCGGCCAAGTGCTTCCTGAAAGCGTCCTTGCGTCCCTTCCCCTCACTGGAGCCTGAAGTTCACACTAGAAGCCTGCTGGGTTTGTCTCCTCGGGAGGCCGTGGCTGCTGCGATGCCCTTTCGGGCTAGGACGCCTGCCTGGGGCTAGTGTCTACGAGGCTTTGTCCCCTGCTGGTGGGGCCTGGAGGTGGCCCTAAGAGGTGCCCTCTGCCCATGCCTGGGTCTTGGCTGTCCTGAGGGGTGGCACTGAGGAGTCAGGAGGTGATTCTTTCTTTCCTTGAGACTGTTTCCAGAGTGAAAGACGAAAGATGGGCTCCCAAGCAGCGGTGTCTGGTGGGCTCTGTCCTCACCCCAGAACTGTTTAAACATGTGGCTTTGTGTGAGCATGGTGCATCTTCGCCCATCCCATCTGTGTTTCGATATTCACAGGGCCTCATCTTCAAACGGAGGGACCTTTCAGGCTCTCCTGGAATGAGTCTCTTGGGCCCCGCCTGCCACCTCAAGGCAGTCCTGTCCAGACCTGGAGCTCTAGCCCTTAGGAGCAGGGCGACATTAGGGGCTGTGTCTCCGTGCAGGCTTTCCTGTGGCTGTCTTGGCCCCCAGGCCCACTCCAAAGGAAAGAGCTGAGAACTCACTCAGATGTTTCCAGTGTGTGGCGTGGGAGGGATTTCCTCTTTTCTTTTTTTAATGTTGAAAATCTTGGTTCCTAGCACTGGTAACATTTGCTTTATGTTATATAGAGAGTAGACTTAAAAGTAGCAGCTGGGCGCAGTGGCTCACGCCTCTAATCCCAGCACTTTGGGATGCTGGGGCAGGAGGATCACTTGAGGCCAGTTTGAGACCTGCCTGGCCAACATGGTGAAATCCCATCTCTGAAAATACAAAAATTAGCTGTGCACGGTGGTGCACACCTATTGTTCCAGCTACTTGGGAGGCTGAGGTGGGAAAACTGCTTGAACCTGGGAGGCAGAGGTTGCAATGAGCTGAGATTGCACCACTGTACTCCAGCCTGGGTGACAGAGTGAGACCCTATCTAAAAAAAAAATCAAGGCTGGGTATGGTGGCTCACACCTGTAATACCAGCATTTTGGGAGGCCAAGGCAGGTGGATCACCTGAGGTCAGGGGTTCAAAACCAGCCTGGCCAAAATGGCAGAACCCCATCTCTGCTAAAAATACAAAAATTGCCAGACGTGGTAGTGCAGGTAGGCCTGTAATCCCAGCTACTCGGAAGGCTGAGACAGGAGAATTGCTCAAACCTGGGAGGCAGAGATTACAGTGAGCCAAGGTCGCACCAGTGCACTCCAGCCTGGGCGATGGAGCAAGACTCCATCCCCAAAAAAACGACAAAACAAAGCAGGAACATGGCTTCTGATGATGAGACCACCTATTTATTTGAAGCTCTTTTTGTTCTTGGAGGTACATCTTACTGAGACATAAGAGTCCAAATACCGTGTTCTGAGGTCTGTTGGAATAAATTTTTTCTTTGAGTTTATGTCAAATGTGGTAGACAGTTCATTTGCTTCTGGTCTTTTAAAATGTGAGGTTCTTTTAAAGATTTGCTTTGGTTCTTTGATGACGTAAGCTGCTGGCCTGCTGTCCATCAGAGTCAGAGCTGCACCGAGTGCCGGAACTGCCACCCTCCAGGCCCCATCTTGTCCTCCCAGCTCCTCCTCTCCATCTTCGCTGGTTTTGCTGGAGCCTTTCAGTGACCATGCTCCCAGGGCTTGGTCAGGCTCCTCAGTGCTGCCTGGGACACGTGCAGGGCTGAGCCAGGCGTGGGGCTGCGTGTGTTAGGAGCTGGTCCTTTGGAGGCTGGCCGGTAGGGCTCGCTGGATGGGAGAAGTGAGCCTGCACCTCATGGCTGAACAGCCCAGAAGCCTCAGCGGTCACGGACACCTCATGTTAGAGAAGGTGTTTGCCCCTTCATGATGGTGCTGGTAGGAACCATGGGCCGGCAGTGTTTAGCATTTCCTGGGGGCACTGGGGATTATCCTCCCGACTCACAGGAACCCTAGGGCATCCTTTATCAGAGGAGGACATTGAGGCTTACAGAGGCCAGGTGCCCAGCGGCTTCTGCCTCCACAGACCGCCCCATGTGGGCAGCATGGGGGCTCGTCTTCTCGTTTTCCAGCAGCGCCTCCCCACACCTGCCCTCCCTAGGCGCTGCACCCCCATTCCCAGCATGCTATGCACACGCCAGGTTCCTGGCCTCTTCAGCTTCCTGTGATGGAAATTTCTGGGCCTGGACAGAGGAGAGAGATCGCGTTAGAACTTGGGGCCCTGCTGCAGCTTGAGATGGGGGTTCCCAGTGCCAGTTCTGTTTCATTCCTGCCCCCTCTTCATCCCACAGCCCAGCGTTTCATCTGAAAATACTTCAGCGGCAGCAGAGGGATCCTTGCTTTATTTTAAGAGAAAGTACATTATGGGTTCTCACTGGTGTTTCCATTTCAGATTCTCACCCAGCTTCCCTGTCGCTGTCTCTTCTTTCTGCGGAAAGTCAGAACTCTGTCTGACGCTGCTGTACATAGAATAGTGTCAGTGTTAGCATGCACTGTGTGGTCCTGGTGAATTATGTGACAACCAAGTTCTCTTTCTAGTTCTCTTTGCTTTCAGAGGCTGTATTGAGTTGTGGTGCTGTAAGTCATCCGAAGCAGCCTCTCTGGGCAGGCGGCGTTCCCAGTACACTACACAGGGACATTTGTTCTGCTTTACTTTTGAGTTTCAAAAATTGTTCTTAAAAAAATAAATAAAAAGAGCAGGTGCGGTAGCTCACACCTATAATCCCAGCACTTTGGGAGGCCAAGGTGATTGGATCACCTGAGGTCAGGAGTTTGAGACCAGCCTGGCCACCATGGCAAACCCCGTCTCTACTAAAAATATGAGAATTAGCCAGGCGTGGTGGTGCATGCCTGTAATCCCAGCTACTTGGGAGGCTGAGACAGTGAGAATCGCTTGAACCTGGGAGGCAGAGGTTGCAGTGAGCTGAGATCGTGCCACTGCACTCCAGCCTGGGCAACAGAGTGAGACTCTGTGTCAAAAAACAAAAAAAAGTTTTGTGGTTTTGTAAAGTGTTCACACGGCACCAAAGCAAATGCTACAAATGTGCATTCTGAGATGTCAGAGGGAAATGTGTCGGGCCTCCTGTGAGCCATGCTGCATAGCAGTTCAGAAACTCACATTCCCATAAGCATTGTGGGAACACAGTCTCCCCAGACTTGCCAGCAGAGTGTGCTGTGACATTTGCCAGGGTGATGTGTGAGAAACTTATGAGGCCTCTGTATCTGGGTCCACAGCCAGGGAGTCAGCCAGCCATAGATTGGAAATGCTCAGGGAGAAATGCATCTGTACCAACATGTGCAGATGTTTTTTCATTTTCACATGCACTCACATCATATTGGTGTCATGAGCAGCCTAGAGCTGCTATAAAGTATAAGGGAGGGTGTGCTTAGGTTCTGTGCAAATACTCTGCCCTTTTACATCAGGGACTCCAGCATCCTCAGGAGTCTTGGGACCAACCTCCTGTGGATGGCAAGGGACAGCAGAATCGCGGGCGGTTCTGACGGGCGTTCTCAAGCTGTGATGTGACCGAGCTCCTCTGCACTTCTCTTTCTGGGAGAGATCATCCGTTGATGACTCCTGCCCCGCTTAATGATGTTTTTGTTTCTTTGTTTTGTGGGGAACTGTGCAAGGTTCTTATGTTGTGGTTTCTGGAAGCTGATTCATAGTTAGGGCCATTTCCCTGCTCCTGAGCATGTGGGAAACCCTGTGCTGCTTCTGGTGTTTGTAGGTTTGATTTTCTCACACACAGAGCTGTGACACACCTGCTGTGTCACCTGGGAAATGGAGGAGGGACTTGTGTTTGATGTTTTTCCCTGGGCTGTTCCCTCCTCCTTAGACCCGTGTCAGTTACCACAGTGTTGGGCTATTTCTTTCCTGCTTTGCTGCTGCCCTGTCGCACATGAATGTCTTTGTGCACTTGGTCCCTTTCTGGATTTTGCGTTTTGCTTCGTGATGTGTGTGTGTCATCCTGTACCACCACACCAGGTGAGCAGTGGCCATTTGACTCTGTCTGGGTTTTGACCAGGCCCTGGGGCCTCAGCACTGCCTGTCCTGTGGACTGTGATAGAGGACAGGTGCGCCATGCAACACACAGGCAGGGGTCTCCACACGTGCCCCAAAACGCTAACCCATCTCAGTCACCGGCACAGTGTCTGCGTTTGCACGTGCGTGTGCACGGGTGTGTGCATGCGTGTGGCTTTGGAAATGGGTTGTTGGGTTTCATTCATCATGAGAGTGAAAAGGCCGACAGGGTGAGTCATGTAACCCTCTGTGTACATAGCTGTCATCTGTCCGGAGGTGCTGAAATGGGTTAGAACGGAGAAAGATGGCACTGACGTCCTCTCCTTATAGTTTCAGGACCATATCAAGACGTGTGGCAAGTGTCGAGTCCCTTGCAGATTCCATGCCCTCGGCTGCCTCGAGACGGTAAGTCTGGGGGTCTGAGGCTGAGGCCACCCCACGTCCTGGGTGTGGTCTTCACTGCCTCCAGCCCCGAGATTCCTGGTTTCCTTCCCACTGCTCCTCAGCCTCTGCTGCAGTGCCACCTCCTGCCGTCCTTGCGTGAAGACCGGGACGCCGTGACGGCATTTGCAGTGGAGTCCGTTGCTGACTCGATTCTATGTAACCTTAGGTATTGCAGTTTTCCCTGATAACGGTGACAGGACCATTGCTGCCTCCGTTTTCTTTGTCTGCGTTGGACAGTCTCCTCCTCTCGGTGTTCTTGTCTGTTTCCCGCTCAGACCTGGCATCTGCCATCTCCAGGAAGCTGGGGCTTCCCATACGAGAGGGTTGTTTAGAGACCTCCCGTGCCTCAGTGGTGCTCACTGTTGCCGCCACCATGGTCCTTGTTTCTGGGCCTCTTGGTATTGAGATGAGAGAGAACACAGCACGAGTCTGTGGCAGCATTTCCCATTTGCACAAAGGGTCTCCTCATGATGGCACACGGCCCCAGGCTCAGCCAGGCCCTGCCTTCTTCACGCCGTGCATGGCTCTCATCCAGCTGTTTGTGTCTGTTGAGTGCCTTCTGCTCTCTGGGTGGTTATGCCTCTAGCGGGCACACGTGCAGGTCCGTTTGTGTCTTTTACTGTAATTATTCTAGAGTGCCTTTTTTATCTTTTTTTTGAGGCTGAGTCTTGCTGTCACCCAGGCTGGAGTGCAGTGGCGTGATCTCAGCTCACTGCAACCTCGCAACCTCCCCCCCCCGGGTTCCAGCGATTCTTGTGCCTCAGCTTCCCGAGTAGGTGATGAAAGGCTGGGACTACAGATGCCCGTCACCACACCCGGCTAAGTTTCGTATTTTTAGTAGAGATGAGGTTTCACTGTGTTGGCCAGGCAGATCTCGAACTGACCTCAAGTGGTCCTCCAGCCTCAGCCTCCTAAAGCGCTGAGATTATAGGCATGACCGAGCCTGGCCTCATTTTTATATTTTGTTGTGAAAATTTGAAAATAATTTAGTTGCAAAGTTAGGCCTATAAAATGAGATATGTTTAAGGAGACCTAGCTTCCACCCTGTGTTTTCACCTTCCCTCTGTGGGTAGCTTTTTATTTTATTTTTATTTTTAATTTTATTATTATTTATTTCTATTTTTTTTTCATGATTAAGGTGTTCTAATATTATTATTGTTTTTTATTAAGACAGTGTTTCACCATGCTGGCCAGGATGGTCTCGATCTCCTGACCTCATGATCCATTTGCTTCAGCTTCCCAAAGTGCTGGGATTACAGGCGTGAGCCACTGCACCTGGCCAAATTATTTTATTTTTTAATTTTTTTGAGATGGAGTCTCGCTCTCTCACCTAGGCTGGAGTGCAGTGGCGCCATCTCGCCTCCCTGCAACCTCTGCCTCCCAGGTTCAAGCAATTCTCCTGCCTCAGCCTGCGAAGTAGCTGGGACTACAGGTGCATGCCACCATGCCCAGCTAATTTTTGTAGTTTTAGGAGAGATGGGGTTTCACCATGCTGGCCAGGCTGGTCTCGAACTCCTGACCTTGTGATCTACCCGCCTCGGCCTCCCAAAGTGCTAGGATTACAGAGGTGAGCCACCATGCCCAGCCTTATTTTATTTTATTTTTGAGACGGAGTCTTGCTCTGTTACCCAGGCTGAGTGCAGTGGCACAATCTTGGCTCACTGCAACCTCTACCTCCCAGATTCATGGGATTCTCCTGCCTCAGCCTCCCAAGTAGCTGGGATTACAGGCACATACCACCAGGCCTGGCTAATTTTTGTATTTTTAGTAGAGATGGGGTTTCACGCTGTTGCCCAGGCTGGTTTCAAACTCCTGACCTTAGGTGATCCACCCACTTCAGCCTCCCAAAGTGCTGCGATTATGGTGCCCATCCTATTTTTGCTATTTATTTATTAAACAGAGTCTTGCTCTGTCGCCCAGGCTGGAGTGCAGTGGCACCATCTTGGCTCACTGCCACCTCCCCCTCCTGGGTTCAAGCCAGTCTCATGCTTCAGCCTCCTGAGTAGCTGGGATTACAGGCACCTGCCACCACGCCCAGCTAATTTTGTATTTTCAGTAGAGACAGGGCTTCACCATGTTGACCAGGCTTGTCTGGAACTTGTGGGTGGCTTTTTAAAAAGCAGTGTATTCTTTTTCTCTCTCTTTTTTTTTTTTTTATTCGAAACAGGGTTTCGCTGTGTCAGCCAGGCAGGAGTGCAGTGATACGACCAGCTCACTGCAGCCTCAACCTCCTGGGTTCAAGCGATCCTCCCACCTCAGCCTCCTGAGTAGGTGGAACCATTGGCACACACCACCATGCCTGGCTAATATTTTTAAATGTTTTGTAGACATGGGGCCACATTGGCCCAGCTACTCTCCAACTCCTGGGCCCGAATGATCCTCCCGCTTTGACCTCCCAAAGTGCTAGAATCACAGTTGCGAGCTACTGTGCCTGGCTGCAGCTAAGTTCCATAACAAGCTTCATATTCCTTAAACATAGCTGACTTTCAGGCTGTCGTAGACAAGAAGGCCTCCCAGGCATCCCTATCTGTCTCCTCAGTTCAGCTGAGGCCCGTGTCTTGGTGGCTGTCCCCGGGTGGGAGCGGAATGGTGGGTGGAGCCAGCAGCCCCCCTGCCCTATGTCTGCAGGTGGAGGGCGAGAAGCAGCAGGAGCACGAGGCGCAGTGGCTGCGGGAGCACCTGGCCATGCTACTGAGCTCGGTCCTGGAGACAAAGCCCCTCTCAGGAGACCAGAGCCAGGTGGGGTCAGAGCTCCTGCAGAGGTGCGAGACACTGGAGAAGAAGACAGCCACCTTTGAGAACATCGTCTGTGTCCTGAACCGGGAGGTGGAGAGGGTGGCCCTGACCGTCGAGGCCTGTAGCCGGCAGCACCGGCTGGACCTAGACAGGATTGAAGCCCTGAGTAACAAGGTCTGTGCCTGGTGGGCGGCCAGCTATGAGGACAGTGTAAAGGGTGACGGTGCCCACGCCCCAGCAGCTTCTGGCAGGTCCTAGAGCTTTACAGCATGGACAACCTAGAACTCCATCTGCAAACCCCAGTCCAGCGTGGTTTCTGTGGGGGGCTCTGGCTCCCTTTATTTCTGAGCCCTGTTCTCTGAGAGACGCAAACCCTGGAAATTCACAGACGCCATAGGCCGTGGGCGGGAGCCTCCTCTGACGGAGGGCAGTCAGCCATGGGGGTGTGCATGGCGTGGTGTGGCTTCTTAGCATGCTTGCTGTCCGGAGCTGCTGTGTGAACTTGGAATCCCCACCTCTTCGCAGGGTGGGATTGGGTTCTTGTGGGCAGGGAGCTGACAAGAGAAACACAGAGCCCAGGGTGCCCTGGAGCACGGTCCTGCTGGAGATGGGTGGGTGTGGGAGGCAGGGGCTCATGCCCGCACCCTGCTGTAAGAGGGAAGGTGGTCTTGGCACCCGCAGGTGCAGCAGCTGGAGAGGAGCATCGGCCTGAAGGACCTGGCAATGGCCGACCTGGAGCAGAAGGTCTTGGAGATGGAGGCGTCCACCTACGATGGGGTCTTCATCTGGAAGATCTCAGACTTCGCCAGGAAGCGCCAGGAAGCTGTGGCCGGCCGCACACCTGCCATCTTCTCCCCAGGTGTGGTTCTAGCCCCCACCAACTGCAGCTGCTGTTTACTTGGCACCTGGGTCCCCTCATTGATGCAACCATATGGGAGGGGTCCCAAGGGCAGGGCTGGGATACAACACCCACTGATACCAGGAGTGGCTGTGCCTCCCTGAGTGGCCAGTGGGCAGCTGAATATGGGATGGGCAGTGGGCGCCCTTGGGCAGATGTCGGGGTGGGGGTGTTTGGCTGGCTGCCCTTTTGTTGTGCCAGCTCTCAAAGTGTGCCCCTTGTCATCCTCAGCTCTGCTCTGCAAGCCCCATGTCACCTAAAGCAGATATTACACCAGCAGGCTCTCCTGCCTAACCACAGCTCCTAGAAAGACAGAGGGCGGGTGGGGGTCACCATGTGGGTGGCACGAGGCGGGGCGTGGCTCTCAGGGACTTGGGGCTGAGCTAGTCTGACCCTTCCCAGGTTCACTTTCCACCTGCACACAGGAGCTCAGTTGAGGGTGTTTCTCATGCTTCCTGCTTTTTTATTAACCCCAATTATGGGGTCTCTTGAGAGGGTGCTCGTGGGGTCTCCCCTGGAGGGCACTGGTAGAGAGGGGTGGGGTGGGGGCTGTCAAGACTGTGCTTCCGGGCACTGTGGTCCAGAAGTGGCCCCGCTGCTGTCCCTTGAGACCCTCACTGACCTCGTGCCAGCCCAGCCATCATCTCTGCCCCTGCCCAGCCCTGCCTTCGTGCCCTTTGTAGCCATGGCTCAGAACATGCCCTCATGTAGGCTTTATTTTTACACTGACTTGTTGAACTTGCTGATAGAATCTTAGATTTTAGGATCAAAGCTGAGACACCGTAGGCACCTTTCCTGTTTGAATTTAAGCTGGCACTGCTGATGAAACTCGCTGAGCACCAGGGGCTGAGGTGGTCCTGTGCTCCAGCGCCCTCAAGGCAGAAAGAGACCCAAGTGTCATGTTGAGGGGCTGCCATGTTCTTTGTGGTGTGTCTTGACAGGGCCTTCATCAGGGGTCAGAAATAAAATTCACACTCTCTTCTCTGAGTTGAGACTGGAAAAATGAAAGATTGGAGGACACTCGAGGGCATAGTCTGGGCAGTCTGCAGGACATAGCGCTGTTCCTCCAGGGCTGGGAAGGTCAGCACCGCCCTCTGGTGGCCACCTTCCCTCTGCAGCTGCTGGGAGCTCTGAGCGTGGGGTGAAGGGTGAAGGGGTGGGGCCCTGCCACAGTGGCAGTCTTCGAGGGAGCTGCACTCGGGCACGAGTACCTGTTTGTGTAAAACATCTGCTTTAAGCCATGCTGGTGAACACAGCTTGTGTGCAGCACGGCTGTGGAGGGCAGGGAGGACGGGCCTGGGGAGGATGGGCTGTGGGGGGCAGGGAGGACGGCTTGGGGAGGATGGGCTCTGGAGGGCGGGAGGACGGCCTGGGGAGGATGGGCTGTGGGGGGTGGGGAGGACGGCCTGGGAAGGATGGGTTGTGGAGTGGGGCAAGATGGCCTGTGGAGGGCGGGGAGGATGGGCTGTGGAGGGCGGGGAGGACGGCCTGGGGAGGATGGGCTGCAGAGGGTGGGGAGGACGGGCCTGGGGGCTCAGTGCCACCATGGTGGGATCACTGTGTATGGACCTTTGTGCAAGGTGTTCTGTCATGTGACTTGGAAAGCAGCTTCTGCCCCGTTCTGGCTGTCAAAAAAAAAAGCATTTACTGATTTTTCTAATTACTGGGTTTTTTTCAAAAATGAAATTTGTTTTCATTGGAAACTAACTGCATAGTTTGAGAACAAACATTCTTTGCACCCCAGAACCTGAATGTTCCTTTGTGGTGTGGATGTCCCTGGGGGAGGGCTGGCAGGCAGGAAGAGCCCACCCTGCCCGTGCTGATTGCTCCCCCCGCCCGCCTCCCCAGCCTTCTACACCAGCAGGTACGGCTACAAGATGTGTCTGCGCATCTACCTGAATGGCGACGGCACTGGGCGCGGGACCCACCTGTCCCTCTTCTTCGTGGTGATGAAAGGCCCGAACGACGCCCTGCTTCGGTGGCCCTTCAACCAGAAGGTGTGAGGCCGAGGGCTGCGCCTGAGATTCCCTCTGGGCAGGGCAGCTTCTGTGGCTCAGGCTTGTGCAGGATTGGGTGGCTGGGGCTGCCAGCCCAGGTGTCTGCAGTAGGCAGGTCACCCTGTGGTGCTGTGTCACATGTTGGAGAGTTCTGGCAGTTTGTGTCTTTTTCACAATTTCTGAACACTGGTCCGTGACATAAGCAATGGCTTCCTGACGTGTCAGATGAATATTACTAAGAAAAAGCATAAGGCCGGGCATGGGGGCTCACCCTGTGTTCTTAGCACTTTGGGAGGCTGAAGTGGGAGGATTACTTGAGCCCAGGACTTTGAGACCAGCCTGGGCAACATAGTGTGACCCCCATCTCTACAAAAAAAGGAAAAAAGAAATATTAGCTAGGCCTGGTGGTGCACACCTGTATTCCCAGCTATTAGGGAGGCTGAGGCGGGAGGACTGCTTGAGCCCAATAGGTTGAGGCTGCAGTAAGCTGAGATCATGCTACGCACTGCAGCCCCGGCAGCAGAACAAGACCAGTCTTTAAAAAATAAGTGAATGCAAGGACAAAGCACAGAATGATGAGAGCTGAGGGTGCCCAGCATTAGCCTAGGACTCCAGAGGCCGGAGAGTGTCTGGACCAGCAGTTTGAAAACACGGCCCTGGAGAGTGCAGAGTAAGGAACACGGCTTCAGGGCCATCTGCGTCAGAGGTGTGATTTATTATTTTGGGAAAATCAGAATCTGTTTTTGGTTGAGGAACTGAAGGTCTAGAGACGAGGCTGGAATAGTAAGGTCCTTTCCTTTCGCCATACTAGGCCCAGGCTTGCTACTTCCAACACCTGCTATAGCCAGTGGAATAGGCAGAGCAGAGCTGGACGAGGGGAGGGCGTGGAGGGCCCAGGGGCAGCCAGGTTCACAGGCCCGGCAGAGACAGGCTCAGGCTCTCTGAAAAGTACACTTAGGGCTAGGTGGGCAGTGGGGCTTTATGACACCTTTACCAAGAAAATGTCTTTGCCAGCTGTATTATTCTTTGCTTTTTCCTAATAATAATTCAAGTTCAGGACTGGTAAGTGTAGTCTAGGACTCCAGATGTCAGGGGACAGGAAATGCCACATGGATGCAGGTTCCCCAGAGAGAAGCATCATGCCTGTGGTTGGTGAGCCAGGTGCTGCGCAGGAGCCAGGCCGCCTACCACGTGGTCTTGGCTGGGTCCTGGGATGGGCACCGGGGGCCTCCTGCCAGTGGCTCTGCGAGTGTCCAGACCCTCAGGAGCTGGAAGAGGCAGCCTACAGATCGTGTCCCTCCCCGGGGCTCTCCTCCAGGTGACCCTGATGCTGCTGGACCAGAACAACCGGGAGCACGTGATTGACGCCTTCAGACCCGATGTGACCTCATCCTCTTTCCAGAGGCCAGTCAATGACATGAACATCGCAAGTGGCTGCCCCCTCTTCTGCCCCGTCTCCAAGATGGAGGCCAAGAATTCCTATGTGCGGGACGATGCCATCTTCATCAAGGCCATTGTGGACCTGACAGGGCTCTAACTGCCCCCAACTGGTGGTGGGTTTGGGGGCAACCAGGCACAGCTGGCTCACTGAGGGGCCACCATGCTGGGCCAGGGCCTCACTGCACAAGTGGGCAGAGGCCTTGCTTGGGCACTTGGGAGGGTGTTGGCCTGTAGCCAAGTTCACTGTCATGGGGAAGGAGCCACCAGCCAGTCCTCAGATTTCAGAGACTGCGTAGAGGGTCCTGGGAGATGAGCTCAGCCCAGGGCCATGGTGGGACTGGCCAAGGGTCTTCTGGTGCTTCTCTTGCTGTCTGTCTTGTGCAGTGAAGGGAGAGGCCCTGGGTGGGGACGCTCAGAGCAGAGCACATCCCAGCAGTGCCCACAAAGCAGGAGCACAGTGGTGGCCTTGTGTTCCTCAGGCATGGCGGGCAGAAAGGAGGGGCTGCTCCAGGAGAAGGGCCTCCTGCCGGCCAGAGCAAGGAAGGCCATGCGGCTTGGTTCGCCCCTCTGTCCCCTGGAGAAAAGGGAGCATTCCTAGATCCCTAGGAATGCTATGCCACCTTGGCCAGGCTGGCTGTGGGAGAGGGTCTGGTCCCATGCTCCCTCTGCTCAGACCATGGTATGGGGGTGTGCAGCACAGCCTGCGGGTACTGTGAGAGCTCTCCATCCAGCTCATGAGATAAAGTTATTAAACCATTCAAATCTCTGCTCAGTGGTGTCCAGTTGGTTCCAGGTTGCCTGCAGCTTCCAGCCTTGGCAGTGGTCACCCTCTGGGGGTCCTCCTGGCCTCCTCTCCTCCCACGCACCCCTCCCCACAGGGTACCTGGCCACTGACTGCTTTTCTAGCCAGCCAGGTTGTTCTGTTTCTTACCTACTGTAAGCTCTCTCTTAAGCTTTGGTGAAGCCCAGTGTTCCTTCTTGTGAAATATTCTTCCCTGTCCGTCTCCTCTCCTGGGCCTTCCCAGGGACTCCTGTGAGAGCAGGATGAGGATGAGCCGGCCCTGGTTCTCAGCACAGGCTGCACCGAGGGCCCTGGCTGCACCGCCCTCGGGTGTGCTCTTGGGACTGAGGGCAGGCTGGAGTAGGCATGGCCCCGCTCTTGGTGTCGGGGCAGCCGTGCTAGGGCTGGCTTGGCATCTGTATCAGGCTCGGGTAAAGTGTGGTCGCCTCTTGACATCCCCACACACTGCTGTAGTTTGAGAAGTTAAGACCATAGAAAAATGCAGAAAATAACTCAGGCACAGGAACTGACAGGTATCTGTGCTCCCTGCGTGTGTACTGGACCGAGTGAAGCATCGCAGAGCCCATCCCCTGTTGTTCCCTTTCCCAGCCTCGACTCAGCTCCCTTGGGCCACATGGCACCATCTGTGACGTTCCAGTTCTCTGGCTTTAGAATTCGGCATCTATGTGTTTCTGTATCCACAAATAAGACTATTGCATTTAAAACGCAGAAACCGTCCACTGGGTCCTCTGCAGGTAGCCGGGCTTCTTACTCAGCCTGGCTGGGTTTGGTTTTGTTTTTGAGATGGAGTCTGACTCCTGTTGCCCAGGCTGGAGTGCAATGGCACAATCTTGGCTCACTGCAACCTCCACCTCCTGGGTTCAAGCGGTTCTGCCTCAGCCTCCCAAGAAGCTGGGATTACAGGCACCTGTCACCACGCCCGCCTAATTTTTGTATTTTTAGTAGAGACTGTGTTTAACTATGTTGGCCAGGCTGGTCTTGAACTCGTGACCTCAGGTGATCCCGTGCCTCAGTCTCCCAAAATGCTGGGATTACAGGCGTGAGCCACCCCACCCGGCCCAGCCTAGCTGGTTTTAATGCCTCATGTGCTGGGCACTCTGCATGGCAGATTGTGACCACTGTGTGTGAGTTCCCTAGAGAGCACCTCCCCGTCTTTTCTTCTGTGTCTTGAGTGTTCGGCTACTGTAGACGCCCAGGCAGACCCACTTTCCTGGGTCTCCTGTCAGCCTGGAAGGAGAGCTGGTGGTTTCTAGGCCTTCCCGTTTTAGCAGTTGCCAGCTTGCCTTACAGAGGAGCAGCACCCTGTCCTTCCACCAGCACAAGGGGAGGGTTCCCATCACCTCCTGTCCCTGCCCGCCTTCGATGTGGGAATGGAGGAGATGTTGCCTTCTGTGTGTGTGGAGGGGCGTCTCGGGAACGGGCGCTTCTCTGATGGCTCAGTGGCGTTGGGCGTCTGCCCCACTCACTGCTCTCTTGGACTGCCTCCCATGTGAATTGCCTGTTGTTAATGTCTTTTTCTTATTTTGTTTCTGGTTGTTGGTCTGGGCCTTATTCTACTGGTTGATAGGAGTTCCTAATATTCCTGATCAGAGTCTCGGTTGTGTGTTTGAACCGTTTCTGTTCCTGATGTGCAGAAGCTTAAACCTAAGGCACGATCAGTTGATCTTACCCTTTGTGAGTGGTGCTGTTTCTGACCGACTCAAAACATCCTGACCTCCCTGAGGTTGAAAACCACTGTCATGTTTCTTCTCACAATTTTGAGGTTTTGTCTGTAACATGGTGGGCTTCTGTATTTGGGGATTTATTTGTGTATGACAGGTTTTACTAGTTTGCCCAAGCAGATAGATTCAGGTCATCACTTCTCCCTTAAAATGAAATGGAGCTGTGAAATGAGAGAAGCAGGACCAAAGAAGTCCTCCCCCAGGGACAGAGACGGGGAAGAAGCCAACATCCACAGAGGATTTCAACCCTTCTGGATGGTGGGAAGTGGGTTGGTGTGTGGCTCTGAGCAGAAGAGGGCTGAGGGGGAGGCTAGCTACCCTGGGAGGCCCCGGCATGGAGCAGAGTCAGCTAAAAGTGGATCAGCTCAGAGACCAAGCAGAGCCGCTACCTTGCAGGTACTTTGCCTGCCAGAGCAGCCGGGTGGGCCTCCCAGCCCTCACTTCCCTGGGGAGATGGAGGTCTGGAAAACTAGGGGAAGAGCTGAGGACTGTGCCCCAACGCAGTCAGAGCAGTGTTGGGCTCCAGGCTGAAGCCGGGGCAGGCGCCTGCAATGAACAACTCCCCAGGTGCAGGTGCTCCCAGGAAACAGACCAAGGCCCTGGAGGGACGAGAGCTCTGGAGCTGACCCGTGGGCAGGCCTAGCCCAGCTGCCTTGTGGCCTTCCGGGGAAGTGTCAGGCTCTATGCAAACCCACAGAGGTACCATCGTCACTATCTAATTTTAGGAGGTTTCATCCCCCTGCAGAGAAACCTTCCCTTGGCCTCTGGCAGCCAGCCACACATCTGCTTCTGTCTGTGGTCCTGCCTGATGAGAACAGGGACAGGAGTAGAGTCCCATAGCGCGTGGCCTTTGCTTTTCCTCAGCAGGGTGCTTGCAAGGGGCGTCTGTGTCGCGGGGCGTCTGTGTCGCTGCGTGTCTGAATTTCATTCCTCTTTATGGCTGGCTGACATTCTCTGGGGGATGGACCTCATCTTGTTTATCCATTCACCAGCTGATGGACATTGGGTGGTTTCTAATTCTTGGCTACTCTGAAAATGCTGTTGTGAACATTTGTGTACAAGTTGTGGGGATGCATATTTGTTTTGGTTTCTCTTGAATGTTCATACCTGGGAATAGAACTGCTGGACCATAAGTTCAGCTTTTGGAGGATTGCCAAACTTTCCCTTGATGGTTGTATCACTTTACAGCTCCCTCAGGAAGTGCTTTTTTTTTTTTTTTTAATTTTTGTTTTTCGAGATGGAGTCTCGTTTTGTCTCCCAGGCTGCTGTGCAGTGGTGCAATCTTGGCTCGCTGCACCCACAGCCTCCCGAGTAGCCAGGATTACAGGTGTGCACTACCACGCCTGGCTCATTTTTGTATTTTTAGTAGAGATGGGGTTTCTCCGTGTTGGCCAGGATGGATGGTCTCGAATTCCTGGCTTCAAGTGTTCCGCCCACCTCAGCCTCCCAAAGTGCTGGGATTACAGGCATGAGCTGCTGCACCAGCCCCTAATAACATTTTAAAATTTCATAGTAAAATTGATTTGTTCTTTTGTTATGAATGTTCACACCTGTGCAGATTTGGATAAGCACCACAATAACCAGGAGACAAGCATGCCCTGCCATCTTAGAAGACCATTCTCCTCCAGCTCAGGCTGGAGTGAAATGCTGTGATCTTGGCTCAGTGCAACCTCCGCCTCCCAGGTTCAAGTGATTCTTCTGCCTCAGCCTCCCAAGTAGCTGGGATTGCAGACACCTGCCACCATACCCCGCTAATTTTTATATTTTTAGTAGAGATAGGGTTTCACCATCTTGGCAAGGCTGATCTTGAACTCCTGACCTCATGATCTACCTGCCTCAGCCTCCTGAAGTGTTGGGATTACGTGTGTGAGCCACTGCACCCCGCCACGCAGAAATGAAGAACAAGGGATTGGAAACTGGAGGGAAGACCACTCTAGTGTAAAGTGGCGGAGGACACAGCTGATGTGTGTTCATGTCCCGTCCTTCCTTTGTGGAAGGGACTGGGCCGTCTGGCTGAAGAAATATTCAGGGTGTGGCGTGTCTTCTAACGGCATAAAGTAAGATGTGAGACGAGAGAAATGATTTAAAGATGGAATTTATAATTAACAGGGAAAGAACTTAGGGATCTTAAGGATTTTCAGTCTGGCCATTGAGAGAGTAATGAGGTGTCTTTAGAACAGACCAGGAGTGTGGCCGAGCAGCTTTTGACGAGGAGCTTAGTGTGGACAGGATGAAGCCAGAGGCTGCAAACCAGGACAAAGGTAAAATGACCCCAGAGGCGTTTCAGTCTCCTGGTGCTGCCTCGCCACCACAGGCCTGGTGCTGCCTCGCCACCACAGGCCTGGTGCACCAAGGCCTTTGGGAGGGAAATCTGTCAAAAGAGGTGTAGGGTGCCCTCAGGACCTCAGAGCCTGCTGGCAGGGCCACCCCGAGTCTGCTCTCTACATTCCAGGGCAGGCCCCTAAGCCACTCCAGCCTGTCTCAAGTGGCCTCGGGGAAGGTACCATCATAGCCTTGGTAGGGTCCATGTGGTGCTGGTTCTGTGGGGACATGCTTCCTTCACTGGGTATCACAGGATGTCACGGACAGCAAAGGCCCACATGGAGACTTGCAGAGCCATGGCAGAGCCCACATAGGCAGTATGTGGTAGGGCCTTGGGGATAAGGCCACTCTTGAGACCCCAGAACTGCAGAGCCTCCAGTGTTCACTGCCAGCCTGGGAGAGCTGCAGGCGTGAGACTCTAAGCTGCTGGAGCTGCGTGAGGGCTGAGGTTACCAAGAGCCTGGAGGGCCCCTCTGCACCCCACAGTGTGTACAAAGAAGATGATTCTCAGGCCTTAGGGTTTCGTGGTATTCTCCCTGCTGGCGTTCAGATGTGCTTGAGGTCTGTTACTCCTCTCCTCTTTACAGTTTATCCCCTTTGGAATGGAAACGTCTGTTGCGTGCCTGCCCTACACTGTATTTGGAAGCATGTAACTTGCTCATTTTCACAGGCTCACAGTGGAGGGAAAGCTGCATCCACTTGGGATGAGTCACGCCTTGAGTGTCACCCATGTCTGATTTAGATGAGTCTCTGGGCTTGGACTTTTGAATTGATGTTAGAATTAGTTAAGACTTTGGGAGCCATTGGGATGGAATGAGTATATTTTGTATGTGAAAAGAACATGGGCTGGGCACGGTGGCTCATGCCTGTAATCCCAGCACTTTGGGAGTCTGAGGTGGGCGCATCACCTAAGGTCAGGCG